TTTCTCTCTCTCTCTCTCTCTCTCTCTCTTTCTTTCTTTCTTTCTCTTTCTCTCTCGCAATGGATGAATACCTGATCGAAACCGATAAAAATTTTGAACACATTTTTATGTCGTTTCTGTATCTCTAAAAATCGGATGACGTTATCGTCGGTAAACTAATCATTGAATATAACACTTAAACATTATTTTGTAATAAATTATAATTAGATTAAAACACACTTTCATTGCCGCCAATTGCGGTATTTGTCGGATCCCTTCGCCGATCGCGTCCACGATATCGACTGATAATAATAAAAAAACAACAAAAAAACAATACATTAAAAAAATATTAATCATAAAAATACATAATAAAGTAAAACCCCAATTGTGTACTAATTTTGTACCACAAAAAAACAATTTAGTATAATTTACTAAACTGTTTACTACTGTATAAAAACTTATTTCGATCATGAAACAATTAAAACGTACAGTTAAAAGTGCCGGCCATTGACGGTATGTGATAGTAGAGTAGGGGTGTGTTGGGGGCAGCCTTAGCGACGGGCCGGAGTGCGTCCACCCAATCCTCAACGGTGTTTGGCTTATAATAAATGGGCGGCAAAACAGCGATCGCGTCGAAGCCCAGGCGCTCGACCTCTCGGCTCAGGTCGAGAGACTCGCGCCAACAGTTGGAGCTGACGTTAAACACGGCCAGCAATGGGGCCCTGTGTTTGTCGAGCGCCTGACGCCAGGCTCGGGCCAACTCGACCCGCTCGGCGTTAGTCAGGTTATAGCCCTCGCCGGTGGTGCCGATGATATACACGCCGTTCACACCGATGTCCACCAAATACTTGACATATGCGCCGATTTGCGAGACGTCCACTTTGCTAGGGTTGGATGATATACATGAATATATTTTTTTTTGGTAAAGTTGCCGCAAATATTACCCGTTCTTATCATAAGGTGTAATGACTGCGGCCATCGCACCCTTGAATTGTAGCAATTTTTGCTTTCTTTGCTCCAAGACTGACATTTTTGTTGTAAAATTTGTGAAACACGTCTCAATGAAATTTTCTTCCAAATACTTTAGACACCGACTGACGAGTCGAGCGCTCGACTCAACGCTTATATATTATATAAATGTTTGTTTAAAATGCCAGAAATCAGGTCTTAATCGGCGCTTAAGATCTTTTCATACCATAAAAATAACATTACTTTTCTCAAGGATTATTAGTTTTTACATTTAAATGACAGTTATTTTAATTGATTTTTCCAACAGTTTTACTGCAAAATTCAATATCAATTTAATGGATAATTTATGTGTTATTAATATACGGATCGTATGTTTGCTTTAGATATGAGGTTTGTTTGAAAAACTAGTGATTTTTGCATTGATTACCAAAATATGTACTTTCGTATAATGTACTGACAAAATATATAAACTTTTAAATAATGTATTTCATTAATAATATACTGTATTTAAATATTATGTAATAAAATACATTTGTATTGAACCTATTTTTCAGATATTAAATCAATACAATTGATAACAATTAACTGTTATTGACTTTTAAAAATTTATTTAAAAAATAAATTATTTATACAAATAATCTTTTCCATAACTACTGTCAGACAATAGACTACTATTAAAATAATTAAATTTATAATATAACTACATTTATTAAAATTAGTTATCAAGTAACTAATTATTACAATAAGTATAACTTCTAATTAGGATAATGATAGTGAATGGGAGCTCTGGGCAAACCCACATCAATACCCAGATGTTTAACCTTCTCATTGAAGGCCAACTTAACGGTGAGAATGGGGTTACCGGTGCTCTTAATAGCCGTATTCTCGGCGATGAGTCGATTCTGTTCGACGCGGGCTTTGGCCAAATCCAACTGTCCATTGAATGAGAGGAACCGTTTGTACACTTCGGGCAGCTCTGGTAGGTTCCAGAGGGCACTGATCGACGAGTCGTACTCCAGGGCTGTCATCACTGTCAACAGTGTCTGTGCCGACACATATCATAAATGGGATCAATTGGCGGAACAGTATTGGTATGTCTTAAGACAATTGGTGTCCGAAAGACAACAAATACCTGATCGAAGCCGAGGAAGACTTTCAGATCACTGGCGTATTGTTGAAGGCCTGACAGCCGGACAACGTTGCCGTCGGTGAACTACATCGTTAGCACAATTACAATCGTGGTAATTAGTGTAAAGTATTAAATAAACTAGATTTAATAGACATTACTTTAATAGCGGCCAATTGTGGCACTTGTTTCAGTCCCTCACCGATCGCTTGCACCAAATCCACTGCCAAAAACACAAATAATTATTATCAAAACATAAATCAATCAACTAGTTATTTAACATTTAATTACGTCACCACAAACTAACCATTCAACTCGCCGGCCATCGACGGTATGTGATAGTAAAGGAGGGGTGTGTTGGGCGCGGCGGTGCCGATAGCCTTAATAAAGTTAACCCAATCGGCAATACTGTTGGGTCGGTAGTAATTGGGCGGTAATACGGCTATGGAGTCGACGCCCAGCGCCTCCACCCGTTTGGACAGATCTACGGCCTCTTTCAGACAGTATGAGCTGACGTTAGCCACCGATAAGAGGCCGGCCTTTTGGCTGTGGATCTCCTGATGCCAGGCCTTAATCACCGCAAACCTCTCATCGAGGGTCAGGTTATATCCCTCGCCGTTTGTGCCGCATATGTAGACGCCGTCCACTTTGTTGGCCACCAAATACTTCACATACGCGGGTATTTGCGAGACATTTACTTCGCTGAAAGTATTTACCACGTGTTAAATGTGATATTATTTGAATTAATACTTACAAAATAATTCAATTTATAATTATAATTACCCTTTACTATCGTATGGCGTAAGTACGGGCGCCATTGCGCCCCTAAATTTGAGCAATTTTTGTTTGCCCTGGGTCAATCGAGCTATTTTTTCAATCATTATTTTAGTATATTTACAATATATGTAATTAAATACAGTATTACAATGTTTAACTAATTAAATAAATGTAGTGACAATGCTTTTATATATAAAGTATTTTCATTTCATTTAATATTATTTTTATTATTTTAATGGCAATTGTCACTAATGTTTACGATATGATAGCAACTAAATCCAAACGACCTTGGTTGTAAACTGATTAGTTGTAAAACTATCAGAACCAGATGTTTTAATTTCAATCAACAAACTATATTTGTAAGTTAAATTCTAATTAGTATTTTAGTAGCTATACTAGTTAGTAAATTTAATAAAAATTAATATATCTTTATATGAAATAATTTATAATTAATTTTTACACTGGGTGAAGTGTATTTTTTAAATAAACCAAAGTCAATCCCCTTTGGATGTTCTAGCTTTAATCTAAATTTTAAGTTTATCTAATACAACTTGTAAAACTTGTACGTATAAAACTTAATGTTTAGTACTCTTTAGTACTCTAAATATAATATTTATAATATGTTATATAATTAAAATGCGTTAACATATTACGAAACAAAAATGCAATTATTTTAAAAGTGTCATTATGGTCTTTTAAACACTACTTTGTTTTTATAAATTACAATACAGTTATGCTATTTATTTATTTCGGTGCAAACTAGGTCTATGAAAATAGTTGGGCGATTAATATTAACCATGTTTTAATCACTTGTTTTACAAAGTTATAACTTATTATGCAATAAATATGAAATTTGCTGAAAATATTTTTAAATGTAGGTTTTATTTAATTTTTAATTTATTTTCAATCAATACCTCATTTATTCCATTGTATTAATATTTTATTTTTATTAATTATATTTAATTACACGAATAAACATTATTTCTACTAATTTTTAGTTATTAAATACTAATTTTAAACAAATAATTAGTTATTTAAAATTTTACTTGAATAGATTACGTTTATAAATTGAGTATTAGTTTAGTATTTTAATTATATAATTATTAATTTAACTTTATTTACACTACCCTGGTAAATCTACGTTAAAATCGTATGCTTTTTATGAATAATGTTATATAAATTTTTAACACATTTTGCGTTAAAATAAAAACAAAATAATTCAAAAATTACATAAAAATTTTCAAAACAGCGAAACAAAATAATTGTCAAAATTCATGTTATAATAAGTGTTCACCACTTATACTGATAGCAATTGGGAGGTCGGGGGTAACCGACAGTAAAACCTAGATGTTTAACGTCTTGATTGAACTGATTTTTGGCCGACAGTAAACGATTGGCCGCCGATCGGTGTCTCTGTCCCTCATCTGTGATCACGTTTTGCTGTCGTCGGGCGCTCTCGAGATCGCCGTCGCGAACGTGTTTTACCATCAGTTTGTATGACTCAACCACTCGTGAGAAGTTAAACATTAAACAGTTGGCGGCACTACAGTCCACACCCGTAAGCGATGCCAATAATATCTGTTACATAACGAGACAATAGATGAGCAAGAGAGAGA